AAAGAGAGAGATGTAAATTTTCTTCATGCTACACCAATTGGGGAGTATAAACTCAAAAGCTAGAGAAAATTTTAAAACCAAAAGTTTAATAACCTCCGCCTTTCCCATCCCCCGAACTCTTCTTCTTTTTTCCGCAATCCTTTCTTTAAAGCTAAAGGAAAAAAGCTGCCTAAGATTGTTCCAATAGCTTCCTTTTTCCCCTTTCCCCAAGTTTAGAAATAATCCCTGCCTATTGGGGAATATCACCCTTCTCTTTTTTGTGGTATTGGCCCAAATAGGCAATTGTTTGGTCCCCAAAAACCCTACATTGGGGGTTCCCAAACAAACGGAAAAGGAATGCAATTTAGGGCTTGCCCTAGTGTTTTCGCTTCTTTAAGGACCCAAATTCAAATTTGGGTCTATAATTCATTTAATGGCCCTGTAATAATTTTCTCTCACCTTGCCTTTTTAAAAATGTTTTAATCATATTCTCAACAAATGAATGAGAGGGGTTTTCTTCCTCAAGCATCGTGCGAGTCTGAACATGCCTAAATCTGTTTGTGTCCATTGGCCGGCTGTTCTGTATTGAACGTGTGTATCCCTTTTCATGTGGATGCAGTTTATTTGGTGGCCAATAGATCTAAGAGAAGATTTCCAGCAATATCAAGGAGAACCTTTTTTGTCTGTAACAGAAACGCATAATTGTTCTTGACGCTATCTTTTTTTGAATTCCTGAAGACTACAATTAATGCCTGGCTTCCTTTTTAATAGCCATCCTCGCATAATAAAATCAGTGAGTTCTTTTTTAACACAGAGTTTTTATATGCTTGGTTGTGGGGTCGAACTGCATACCTAGGATTTTGTATGCATAGCGAAAATAGGACCTGAAAGGTGCTAGAAGCTTCGGGATCAAAAAAGCTTCTCCTATGTTTGTTGAGGGGATTATTGATGTAACCTAAAGACATTCTCAAAGTGCAGCTCTTTTTTTTTTTTTTTTTTTTTTGGAGTTTGTATTCATTATTTATTTTTGACCATTGTAAATATGTAATTTTTTCCATCTTTTTATTTTTGTTTTGGTAGCAATTGCGGAATTTTGATGTATAATGTTGAGAAATTTTCTAGTTTTTGACGTTTGAAAATGAGATGGGTTTAAAATAAAATGGAAAGTTTTGGTGACTGATCACTTGCGTATGTTTTGTTTTGTTCTTTTTCTTTTGACATTTATTCAGAAATGATATGACAAATTAATTCCTATCATCTATATTGCCTGTTAACTGAGAAATTTTATCAAAATGCAAGTCCTTACAGAGGGATCTTTGTTTGTTTTAATGCCTCCCAATTTAGTGGGATCAATCAAGTTCCACTTGAAACGTTTTGCCCAGTGAACTTCCAAGTATTGTGATTTCAATTAGCGTAGAATTAAAAAGTGAATAGTGAAATGATTGAATTGCAGACATTGTGAATTGTAAGAAATGGATTAGTTTTTGAGTCGGGTAATCGATGGACTACAATTGGAACTTTTAATCTTCCATGCGAGTACAATTTTTCTAGGTTTAATATTTCAATCTATAAATCAATTAGGTTTTTTGAGTTACAATTGCACGAATAAAAGCGTATTGAGCCAATGATTTACTATCAACCTCGGGAAGAATGAATGAAGCGTATAAATGAGAAGAGATGCAGGTGATCCTTGTCAAGAAGATCTTTCTTGCACAATTGGCATTGCTGACGAGCTCTGCTCTTGCTTGAACGGTTTATCAAAATGCATTCTGAAATTTATGATAAATGATTAAGCCAGCCCAAACTTACTGTATTATTACAGCTAGTACAAGCATTACAAATGAAATTAGTGACAAGTGGCAAAATGTTGGAGTGTTCAGAAAAATTTTTACTTTATTTCAGTAATAGAGTGTGATAAAATCATAGTTCTGCTCCAGCAGCATACAACAACAATTCAAGCTATCTGATTCAAAAATTTATGTGGATGCTATATTGAGTCTCTATCCAAACAAAATGGTTGGCATAAAAAGCAGGGAAGTAAACTAACATAAAAAAGGGTCAGGCCCTGCATGTGTTCTGCCCATGAACCTACCTAGCAACTTTTCAATCCGTCTAGCATTCTAACTTCTTTCACCCCAAAAATTAACAAAACCCTATTTGGAAGTAAGCAGTCAATGCAAGGAAAATATTCAAATAACTTTTTAAGATCAAACTTATTTGCATGGCTTTCAAAGTGAATCTGCTCTAAATCAGCATCAAGCTTCATCTGGCAAGTTAACTTTTTCACCATGGCCATCTCCCTTGCCCTGGCCCCTGGTGTTATGCCTCGACCATGAACACAGTATGTCCGCTGTCTCTAGTTCCAAGGCTTTCTTGACCGCTGTTCCAAATAACAATTGAAAAGCATTCTTATTGGGGGGAGGGGGAAGGTATATTATTGCTCATAATGTAAAAGACTAGAAATCAGGAAAGGAACTCTCCTTCAACAGTTCAAAAGATTTCAAACAGATAATAAATAACTTCAAATCTATCAAGTTTCATAGAACAAGTTTAAAGAACCTAAGAAAATTATCACTTTAAAATTAATGCTTTTGTTTGGACTGGTCCCTAAAATATGGTTGTGGAATGTAAATAGAGGGTGAAAATGTCACCTTCTCTTGTCTAATTTTCACTCCATTTTGGGAAGGGAAATGAATAATCATCATCACCCTTATTTTACTTCCTCCCTCTTCCAAACATAGGCATAAAAGCCCTGAAAAGTTAAGAATAATATACTCCCTTTGGTCCTTTAAATTTCCTTTTTACCATCTCACATCCATCAATAATTAAGGTTGCACTGTGCTATAGATTGCCAATCCTCATCCAGAGAGTCATGCATTCTTGCCACTCTTAGCACCAAAAAGAGTATTGCATGATTAAAGATGTTGAATTAACTACCTGTTTAAGAGTAACTTTGATTGATTTAGTTATCAAGTAGAAACATAATAATTTTGCTTTTTTTAATTATATGTATAGAAACCAACAGCATTAATGAGGTTTAAATATATGAAATTATATTTATTTGACAGGACAAGAATGAATATATATATATATATATATTTGGGTGGAAATCTAAACAGGAAGAAAGAAGAATTGAAAAACATGAGTTTTTCCAGAATAAATGCAAATTATGATATAACTTCAGAAAATCAAAGCCCATTAAGTATCGGTATTGGCCCGTAAAAAAAAACAATTAAAGCAAGTAGACTGATTTCCTTTACATACTATGCTAAAAAATTGCAAGAACCTGTGAATGCAGCTAAGCCTTCCAAGTTACAAAGTCCAAGTTAAAAGTAAACAAATTTTAAGAAGTCAAATGGGGCTTAATAGATGGTGTGTTGTTTTGTTAATAGTTAACATATGAATTAATAAAATAAAACAGTTAACACCAGTATAAACCTTCTAAAGCCACCATTGTGTTTTCCCCAAGTTGCTGGTTGTCGTTAAAGCCCATATGGACAAAGGGTCGAGCAGTGTATGTGTGTTATATATCAAACTCTCCCACTCACTCCAAGGATGCAGAGTTCTAATTGGTTTTCCATCAAAGCTGTGTGAACATTAGAGTTTGTTATGCTCTTGAGTAAGAAGCTAGGGCTCTGCCTGCGTGGCGAAGAAACTTCAGCTGTTTCCCTAAGAAGAAAGAGAATTTATCTCAAGTCATAGGTAAGCAATGCAAAACTTTTGAGAGAGAGACAGACCCTAAATACGAGTAAATACCTTTGGATCTTCCACTTTTATCATAATGGGAGCGAAGTACCTTTTAATTCACGCAACATCTGAGAAAAGCAACTGCAGAAAGACTAAAATCCATTAATGTATAATAATTCAAGTTCTTCATCTTGCGTCTTGCAATGACACATAAAAGTTTAGTCCCAATGATGACAACAAGGAAGAAGGCCATGTGGTGCTAGCACAGTGAATATCGACTCTGGATAAGACTATTGTGGATATACTATCTGACTTTGCTCCTTAAATCAGGATATAGCTA